TAAAAATATATGTATATAAGAAAAAAACATGAATAATAAATTAATAAAACATAGAGATCACAAGTGCGGTTTTTATGAAGCCTCAGAATCCCTCCCTAAGAAAGTCATGTTTTTATATATTGAGGCTTTTTTGCACATCTCTATATGTTTAAAATATATATTTATTTGTATCATGTATACTCAAAAATACTTATTGTATTTAGTTAATATTTAGTCAACCTTAGGCTAATAATGAATATGGGTTTTACATGAACTAGCTTATGGGTAACTAGATAGAATATGTATTTTTGAGTATAAATGATACAAATAAATACTTCTTAAACATAGAGATTTATATTGTAAAGTGCTGAGCAAACTGTTGGCGCTATATAAATCCTGTATAATAATAGAGGTGTGGGTTTTATTTATAATTTCCGGAGACACTATATTGCATATACAGGTACAGATTTTGAATTATACTTTGAACATTTACCTATAATGTTAGATATAATCTTGCATACGGAGACTGCAAGGCCTCAACACCTTTTCTGGTTTTTGATCTTTGAGTACCATGCTCATATAGGTTGACTCTTTATACTGAATGTCATTGTACATGACCCTGATTGCCATAGTGAAGAAATACTCCAAAGCACATATGAGGTGTTCAGGGCTGTGGATAATGGGGTACCACCAGTCCTCTTGTACGAGGCCCAAGGCAGCAGGGGAGCCCAGGCAGCTATGTGAATCAGAAGTGGGCAGGGAAGGTGATCAGCACAGTGTGGGGGCCAGTTACTAGAACCAATCCCATGTATGGCTCTCTCTGCAGCAGCTGAAAGCTGGCTTCTTCTCTTCTTCCTCCCGCTGGCTTTCAGCTGCTGTAGAGAGAGCCATACAGGGGATTGGTTCCAATAATTGCCCATTTCTTTCCAGAATGAACACAATGAGTGATTGGGGGGGCGGGGTGGGGCCCTGTCAGGTTTGCTGTATGGGGCCCTGGGGCTTCTGTCAGTAGCCATGGAGATGTTGCCTGCTTTGTGTTGAGTCCCTTGTTTTGTTGTACATACAATCTGTTGTCATAGATGTGTCATTGACATGGTAAACAGTTGTACTGACTCTTCACAAAATGTGAGGATGAGAATGAAATATCATTTCTGCCCAAAGGAGGTAGAATTACAGTTAAATTTCTGGTTAATGAATGACCAATAAATGGCAGGTACCATACAGCCAGCTTTCCCCTATCTGCCCATGCTACTCTACTTTGTTGGTCTGATGTGAAGTCATTTGGTGACCATCTGTTGCAACCCTGGCACTGTGCATGCATAGAATGAGAGCAATCCAGTGAGGCACAGAGTGCATGAGCACTGCTGCAGGGAAGATCTCTGAGCTAAAACAAGAAGCAAGAGAGATAGTAGTGCTCTATCTCCTTCCTTTGCCTTACAGAGTATCTTCTAGCTCCTTAGCAGCAGGTACTGAGCCAAGAACTCCTACCACATTGGATATAGAGACTTTATCTACTTTATGTGCCGTCAGTCCCAGTAACACTTTGGACTGTGTTTTCCTTATTACCCCCAGATTACCCCTCTTCATTCTTTAAGCTCTCTGTGCTGCTGTTTTGCTGTACAAAGTTGCCACATAGTGAATACGGTGAACATTTTTAAGAGCTTATTTGTGAAAATACTATAGTAAAAAATTATGGAGTGGACAACATAAATGGCAATACAGTAAATATGCATAATATCCATCTAAGTTACTGTCCACTTCTGTACCATTGTTCCTTGTTGTAACTAGTCCCCATTATAGCATTATTATTTGTAAAATGATACAAATTTGGATACATATTATAAATATTAGAACAAATAGGAAACCTGTAGAACTATTTTAAGCACAAAGTACGTCTCTGTTTATTTTAATACAAACAATGCTTTTCTACAGCCCCTTTCACACCGGCAGACTTTGTTTGGATCAGTAGAAGATCGGTCTGCTGATCCCCTGCTGATCAGACCAGAGGGAGTGGATGGGAGGTCCATTTCCACTTAGTTTGTGCAGAGCAGACACAGACAGAGCCCACTCTGCTCCATGGGCTGCCAGGAATAAAATAACTCTGTGTTTACACCCAACTGACCTTTGAAGGGTAGATCCCCTTCCATTTGTATTCTTTGCAGACCAGATTGGATTGGTAGTAGGTAGGTATAAACAGACACAAGTCCATTTACACCCATCGTTCCTGAAGTGTGAATGGAGACTCCAATCAGGTCTGCCTGAAAACCGACAGGTGGACCTTATTGGACTCCTGCTGTGGAAGGGGCCTAAAGGAGAAAGATATGTTCACAATATAATAATAGAAATTAAAGTAAAACCATGAGTCCATGGCTGGACTTTCCTAGCAACAGGAGAGCATTCATGTTTTATATCATTACTATAATATTATTTTTATTAATATTATTACTTGTGACTGGAGTATATGAGGTACAGGCTGAAGGATGCATGCTGCTGACCACAGCGTATATTATGATTCTAGTTGGCTACTTGCAATGGGAGAGAACAGCTGAGAACAAATGGTTGCAGCTACATACAGATATATATTTTTAAAGTGTATCTGTAGCCAAAACATTTTTCTTAGTTTTGGATAGTTTTCGATTTTTTTTACAGTACATTGATTATAAAACAACTTAAAATGGAGCTCCACCCAGTAGGGGAAGCTCCACTTGTCTGCCTCCTCTCCCTCTCCACTGCCATATTTGGCACGTTTTGGGGGGGAGAGAGGAGCAGATACTTGATTTTGACAGGTGCCCGCTTCCATTTCTGGTCAGATGGATATGGCGAAGTTTATTCACTCCTCCTTCCCCCCGCAGCCTTCTGGGACACATAACAGGTCCCAGAAGGCTGCAGGGCCATTCACAAAGCACAGCACAGCTCACACATGCACAGTAGGAAATTGGCTGTGAAGCTGGAATTCTTCAATGCTGTTTCCCTTACCTAAAATGCTGACACCTGCACGCTAAGTTGAATATAGAATTGACTCAGGTGAGCACATCACTGGATCCCTGGGCAGGTAAGTGTCCTTATATTAAAAGTCAGCAGCTACAGTATTTGTAGTTGCTGGATTTTAATTGTTTGGGGGGAGACTGGAGCTCCTCTTTAAAATCTATGAAGGATGTCATGTATTTTCAGCACTAACTCTGACAACCCTCTTAAAACTTTGAAAGTAAAATGAATGGATGTTTTATGCATAATGTGACCACAAAGCCTCCCATAACATGACCTAGTAAGGAATTGCAAAAGCATGGAAAAACTTTTTTCAGTTAAAATTGTAAGCACGCTTATCTGACAACAGGCTGGCAATTACATTTAACAAGTATAATAGTATTTATCACATTGCAATTCAAATTAATCTAATACAGATTGATAAAAAACTATAAAAACGAATCTATAGATGCATTACAGTTTTTTTTAAATGAATGTCTTTTTATGTAATCGTATAAGTGTTTTTTATATTGTATCTATTCATTTCCACACAGCCTTAACAGATCAAGGAGCACACTCTTTGATATTAAAACATAGGAGACTAAATGAGAGTACTGACTAAGAGTTTAAAAGAAAAAGATATAAAAAATCATATATATTTATAATAATAAACATTCAGTTAACATACACCTGTACACGCTGCAAGTCTAGTAACCCTGAACTCTATGGGGTCTATTTATCAGTGTTTTCACACAACTGACACCCAAGGTTTACACCTTTTTCAAACTGAATCCAATCAGAAAAAAGTGTTTGTCTCTTGAAGGTTGTATAAATTTTGAAAATGAGAATACATTTATAAAAGGTCTCTTACACAAGTGTCTTAAATGGGAAAGCCAATCATATTCCAGCTTTTAGCGTCCAGCTGGTTGATAACATTATTATTAGAGTACTTACAACAGTACTGTACAGTCACAGTGCAAACGTGCAAATGTAGACATCATACTAGTGGCTAATGAGTGGCGAACTGACCCGGATGTTTATTCCTCTCTGACTTCTCAAACACTTCACAGGTCCAAGAAGACTGCAGCCAATTCACAAAGAGCAGTGCACGACGCGCATTCTCATCATGTGTATGGGGCTTTACAGTATTATATTTATCATCAAGAGAATAGGTGAGGTTGTAAATTTGCCAAAACAATAGTAGAGCTCAGACTGCGCATTCCTTCTTCTTTATCAGTCTGCTGTTTCACCTTTCGCAGTAGTTGCAGGCTGGGTGACAGACCAGACCTCAAAGTGTTACTGAACTGCAGCACAGAAAAAATCACACCCTTTTAGACAATGCTGTGTTGTGTGGCAGAGATGTGTACATCTCAGAATTGCATGGGCCAAAATACTAATACTCTGGCAGGTAAAACGGCTCTCATAAAAGTATTTCATCTGTGTGTTTAACTCTTGGCTGGGGGTTCAGCTTTCATAAACCTCATGAGTAATACATTGTATTAATGCATGGCACTAACATGCACACCCATTGGTCATTGCCTACTCGTAGCCAGTGAATTACAAGGAACAATCAAGAATTTACAAAAAGGTTCCATTTTTCATGGGCACATTAGCATTGTAAATGTATAAACAAAAGTTTGGCGCTTACTCTCCACAAATATATCTATCCCCAATAATAACCAATATCATTAAATTTCAACCCTTCTTCACATATATCATAAAAGTGCAAAACTCTATATTTAACATTTTAAATGATATGGTGCTTAGTGATGTATCTTCCTCCTATCTGGTTATTTCAGTGCTCCACCACGTGTGCCACTCCAATGCACTCACCACAGATCCATGACCCCTTATTTAACCGCCTCCCGCATGCCATATAAGGAAATGACGGGCGCAAGGCGGTTCTCTCGTTCTGGAAGGACATCATATGACATCCTTCCACTCTAACAGCACGTGTGCAGCTCTGGGGGCATGCAGCGTGGAGATTGGTGGTGCGCTGTGTCCCTCGGATGTCGGATGTGCGCTGTGTCCCTAGATGTCGGTGGATCAACGGAAAGAGCCAAAGACGTCGGCTCGACCATGCGATCAGCTGTGTCCAATCACAGCTGATTGCATGTAAATAGGGAAATGCCGGTTATAGGAATTTCTCTCCTCACGAGCTGTCACGCTGACAGCTCCAGTGGAGAGGAGAGCCAGTAATTGGCATTCCACAGAAAGGACATGTACACTGGTCTTGTGCCCTAATGATCAGTGTAGCCCCAGCAGTGCCACCTGTCAGTGTCCAACAATGTCAGCTGTCAGTGCTCATCAATGCCATCTGCTAGTGCCCATCAGTGCCACATCAATGCCACATATCAGTGCCCATCTGAGCTGCCTTTCAGTGCCACTTATCAGTGCCAGTCAGTGCCATTTATCAATGCCAGTCGGTGCCGCCTATCAGTGCTGACAGTCAGTGACACCTATCAGTGCCAGTCATTTCCGCCTATCCGTGCCAGCCAGTGCTGCCTATCAGGGCCAGTCAGTGCCGCCTATCAGTGCCGCCTAACAGTGCCAGTCAGTGCTGCCTATCAGTGCCAGTCACTGCCACCTATCAGTGCCAGTCAGTGCTGCCTATCAATGCCACCTATCAGTGCCATATATGAGTGCCGCCTTTCAGTGTCCATCAGTGATGCCTGTCAATGCCCATCAATGCCACCTACCAGTGCCACCTATCAGTGCCCATCAGTGCAGCCTATCAGTGCCCATCACTGCAGCCTCCTTAACGCACATCAGTGAAGGAGAAAAATCACTTATTTACAAAATTTTATAACAAAAACTAAGAAAAACATTTTTTCCCCCAAAATTTTCAGTTGTATTTGGTTTGTTTAGCAAAAAATAAAAAACCTAGAGGTGATTAAATACCACCAAAAGAAAGCTTTATCTGTCTCACAATAATGATAAAAATTACATATGGGTACAATATTGCATGACCGTGCAATTGTCATTCAAAGTGCGACAGCACTGAAAGCTGAAAATTGGCCTGGTAAGGAAGGGGGTATAAGTGCCCGATAGGCAAGTGGTGAAAAGGAAGGTCATACACACTTGGTATCCCAGGATCCTGAATCAGCTCCCTGTTGGTATCTCTCCATCAGTAAAGAATCAGCGTGTGCCAGAAGACAAACAATCTCACAGTGCAGTATTGATTATAGGATTAAAATTTCCAAATACAAATAGGATTGACACTCACATTTTCTGGTGCCCAATACCTTGGCACCAATACACTCTCTGGAGCTGGCATGCGTTCTAATCCCCAGAAACGGAAATTACATCAATACGTAAACTTGGATATGGCGGACGTTTTGACTGCCTCTACATGATTTGCTATCAGTGTGTCCTTTGGAACCTCTTTTTTTTTGTCTTCTATAATCCTTTTATTGTTTGTGGGAGGGGGAGGGTGTCCCCTATAATCCTTTTTCTGTTTGTGGGGGGGGGGTGTCCCCTATAATACTTTTTTTTTTGTTTGTGGGGTGGTGACCCATATAATCTTTTTTTCTGTTTGTGGGGGTGCCCCCTATAATACTTTTTTTTGTTTGTGGGGGGTGTGCCCTATAATCCTTTATTTTTGTTTGAGGGCTATCCCCTATAATCTTTTTTTTTGTTTGTGGGGGGCCCTATAATCTTTTTTTTTATTTGTGGGGGTGTCCCCTATAATCCTTTTTTTTTGTTTGAGGGGGGGTGCTTTCTATAAACCTTTTTTTGTTTGGGGGGTGTCCCCTATAATGTATAGAAAGCCGGTGCCCGCTACAAATATTTTCAGTTGTCATATCCCATTAGCATTGTGTGTGAAACGGCATTTTTTTCCCGAGTATAGAATCATGTTTGTCCCAAGGGTATGTGGATCCATTTACTGCTGACTGACTCTCTACCTCTGCTAAAATTCTTTTCCAAGCATCAACTACTCTTTCAGTAAAAAAGTATTTTCTAAGGATAATGTTGAACCTTCCTCCTGCTTGTATTCAAGATTTTGGTTTCATATTGAAAATACTGCTCCCCTGAACCTTATTCCCCCCCTTGATGAATTTAAAAGTCTCCCCTTTCCTTTCTTCCCTCCAGACTGTACATATTAAGTTCCTGAAGTCTCTCCTGATATATTTTATACCCCAGACCTTTCACCATTTTTGTTGCCCTCTCTAGACTCGTTCTATCTTATCAATATCTATTTGTAAGTGAGGAGTCCAAAACTGAGGTCTAAATAAAGATCTATAAAGGGCAATCGGGGCCTCCTTCCTTTTGTTGGTGACCTCTCCAGTGATGCATCCTAGAATTGCATCCCACTGCCTGGACACACTGGGGTTATTTACTAAATGTGAAGAGAGCTAAATCTAGTGCAGCTCTGCATAGAAAACAATCAGCTTCCAGGTTTTATTGCCAAAGCTTAATTGAAAATTCTGAGGTTAGGAGCTGATTGGTTACTACGCAGAGCTGCACAAGATTCTCAGTGCACCAGTGTTAGTATATCTTCCCCACTGTTTGCTCATTTTGCAATCACAAAATACTCCAAATTTTTTTCCTCTGTAGTGTTTCCCAACACTGTACCTCCAATATTGTATTCTGTCCAGGGATTCTTTTTCCCTAGGTGCATTATTTTGTATTTAGAAACATTGAACTGCAGTTTCCACTTTGACCAATCTTCCAGCAATGCCAAATCATGTTCCATGATGTAGACCCTTCCAGGGATATCAACTAGAGATGAGCGAAGTATTCAAAAATTCGATTCGACTGATTCGGCGAATTCGTGGAAAAATTTTGATTCGAGTCGAATATATTCGCTGAGAATTTAACTTATAAAAGGGTGTTTCTAGGCTTCAGAGAGCCTTTATATTAGTGCAGAACACTGTACCTTTAATTTAAATGCCCTTGGAGTCTGCTGGGGAAGAGAAATAATACTGACAGTCAGTATGACATGCAGATGAGTGCCGTCGATCTTAGAATCACCGCACACTTCACTCATTTGGGCAGTCACGGGGCCAAAACCAGAGTGTGGAGCCACAGTGTGGCGGTGGAGGCAGCAGCAATGGGAGGCCATACAGCACCCTATGACAAAAATGGAAACCACCAGCAGTGTGAGGAGACCTGAAAGTGGCACATGGCAGAGTGTGGCGATGGAAACAGCAGCAATGGGAGGCCGTACAGGGACCCATGACTCACTCTGGACCTGGCAGCAGCATGAGGAGGCGGTACAGGGGCCCATGACAGATTACGGGCCTGGCAGCAGCATGAGGAGTTGGTACGGGGGCCCATGGCAGATTACGGGCCTGGCAGCAGCAATGGGAGGCCGTACAGGGACCCATGACACACTCTGGACCTGGCAGCAGCATGGGGAGGCGGTACAGGGGCCCATGACAGATTACGGGCCTGGCAGCAGCATGAGGAGTCGGTACGGGGGCCCATGACACACTCTGGACCTGGCAGCAGCATGAGGAGGCGGTACAGGGGCGCATGACAGATTACGAGCCTGGCAGCAGCAACTTGGACAGGAGGACGTTCAGCTTCTGCACCGTCGGGTGCGTGCTCGCAAACTGTTGTCTCTTGGAAACGTATTCCAAGAAAGACTGCTGACGGAATCCGTGAAGAGGAGTAGCAGGAGAAGGAGCATCTGAACGAGCGGAATATGCCAACAAGCGACAACAGGGGCCCATGACAGATTACGGGCCTGGCAGCAGCATGAGGAGTCGGTACGGGGGCCCATGGCAGATTAGGGGCCTGGCAGCAGCTATGGGAGGCCCGTAATCTGCCAGCACCCTATGACAAAAAATGGAACACACCAGCAGTGTGAGGAGACCTGAAAGTGGCACATGGCAGAGTGTGGCGATGGAGACAGCAGCAATGGGAGGCCGTACAGGGACCCATGAGAGACTCTGGACCTGGCAGCAGCATGAGGAGGCGGTATAGGGGCTCATGGCAGATTAGGGGCCTGGCAGCAGCTATGGGAGGCACGTAATCTGCCAGCACCCTATGACAAAAAATGGAACCCACCAGCAGTGTGAGGAGACCTGAAAGTGGCACATGGCAGAGTGTGGCGATGGAGACAGCAGCAATGGGAGGCCGTACAGGGACCCATGAGAGACTCTGGACTTGGCAGCAGCATGAGGAGGCGGTATAGGGGCCCATGGCAGATTAGGGGCCTGGCAGCAGCTATGGGAGGCCCGTAATCTGCCAGCACCCTATGACAAAAAATGGAACACACCAGCAGTGTGAGGAGACCTGAAAGTGGCACATGTTTGGGGCATGATTCATGGCGGATTTAGTCAGTTGTGTCAGGAACTGGTGGTTTGAAATCCAGACTAATCCACGCCTGATTCATTTTCACAAACGTGAGTCTCTCCACACTTTGGGTGGACAGTCGTGTCCTCCGCGGAGTTGCAATACCTCCTGCCGCACTAAACACGCGCTCCGATGCCACGCTACTGGCCGGGCATGACAGCCTTTCAAGGGCAAATTCAGCTAGTTGGGGCCAAAGGTCAAGTTTCGTTGCCCAGTAGTCAAGAGGATTGTCTACCTCGGTTGGCAGGGTGCTGTCCAAGTAGGCCTAAGCCTGTTGTTTGAGGTCCTGCTCCAGGTCCACCTGATGCTGCTGCTGCGGCTGGTTATTACTTTCCTCACTGTGCTGGTGAAGAAAGCTACTCATCATCGACTGCAGACTGAGGCAGCTGCTGCTGGTGGAGCTGCCACTGCTCCTACCACCCCACCCCTCCCCTGCTGCCATGGCAGCGGAACGCGAGCACACAGGGCCCACAGTGTCTGAGGATGGACGTTGGCGCAGACAGGCAGAGACCAGCTGACTA